AAGCTACATAATGCTGCCTAAACGAGCCCAGAAAAATACAGCTGCTAAGAAGAATACTGAAACCACTTCAACAAGCCAAAGATAGACAAACTGAAAATCAACTCTAACTAGGAATACAGAAATACCAAGCCAGCATAGAAAGTAGAGGGAAGAACCACTGACACGAGACCTAGTTAGTCCTCCACCTTACTGTGCTAATCCTTAGAGTTTTGAGCAGTAAAATCCAGCCACTCCCTCATGGCAGACCTGATGATCCACTCACTGGGCATCCATTTCTTCTCAAATATCCAAATATTCCTAGCCTTCCACATCCACCATAGGATATAGGTGGACAATTGAATCCTATCTTCGGAAACCTCCTTCAGAGGCATGGAACTGATCCACCACCACCATGCTTTCATACTCATTTGCTCATTGTGAATCCCATTCCATTGTACAGGAGCCAATCGCCAGATTTGCATAGCTCTGCTACATTTAAAAAAGACATGTTCTTGTGTCTCCTCCGCCTCCCCACAAACCCCACAGACAGTATCAATATCCATACCTCTATTTTTCAGATTACATTGCACAGGTAATAGATTAGAAAAACATTTCCAGACGAAGTGTTTGACTTTACCCATTACCTTGAGGTTCCAGCATCTCTGCCTTGCTCTTTTGTTCCCAACAGCCTGCAAACTGCTCTCTGCCACCTCCCAACTCCTGGTTTGTCTAGCCATCACCTCAGTATAAGCCTTTTTAACAGAGAATTTACCTTTAACTAAGGCAGAGCATGTCCACAAATCAGCAACCTTGGGATTAAGGTGCTTAATCTGCAAGATCTTATCAGCATCCTCAGCAATGAACAAAGCCTTCACTAAGTTTACATCCCAGCAACTTCCCCCAGCAGCTAACAAGTCCTTGACCCTGAAATTATTCCCATCCACCTCAATTCTTAGATCAGGTTTTCCTTTCTCCAACCCAGGGATCCAGTTATAATCTGAGAGTTTTGTGGATGCTCCATTTTTAACCTGGATGCTCAATAGGGATTTAAGAATAGGTAATAAAGAACTCCAGGACCGCCATAGCCATGAATCTCCATTGGCCTTGACACAATCAAAGATGGAACAATTTGGGAAGTATTTACTTTTCAATACTCTACTCACTAGGAGCTCTGGACAAGAGATAAGCCTCCATAGCTGTTTAAGGATCAGGGCTTTGTTAAAAGATTTAAGGTCATGGAACCCTAGGCCACCTTCACTTTTGGGAGTAGAGAGCTTGTCCCAAGCCATCCAGTGCAACCCTTTAGAATGTTCTTGTCCTTTATTCCACCAAAAATTAGCAAAATGCCTGCAGATCTCCTTGCACAGCCCCAATGGTAACAGAAAACAGGACATCACAAATACAGGTAAAGCTTGCAGCACAGACTTAACCAGTACTTCCTTGCCAGCAGTGGACAAGAAATTATTCTTCCAGCTGCCAATCTTATTCAAAACAGAGTCCACCACATACTGAAAAGCCTCCTTTTTAGAAGCCCCTATCCCCAATGGTAATCCCAAATATTTAGATGATCTTTTCACAACCACACCATTCAATATAGAGCATATGTTATTTTTCAGACCTTCACTGCAGTTCTTGCTCAGAAACATAGAGGATTTATATAAGTTGACCTTCTGGCCCGAAAATCTTTGGTACTTTTGGAGAATCTCCAGCAATAGATTTGCATGAAAAGCATCAGCTTTACAGAAAATTAAAGCATCATCGGCAAAGAGCAAATGGGACAGCATAGGTCCATCTCTAGCAACTCTGATACCCCTGAACTGTCCCTCATTGATTTTGAATTGAAGAAGAGAAGATAAAAGTTCAGATACCAGTATGAATAAGTATGGAGATAAAGGATCTCCCTGACGGAGTCCTCTAGAGGCTTTCACCATCCCACAGATAGAGCCATTTAGGTTAAAAGAGAAGGTTGGAGATGATATACAGCTGAATATCCATTTGATAAAAGTAACATGAAAGCCCATCCTCCCCATAGTTTGACAAACACACTCCCACTCCACTCTATCGTAAGCTTTCTCCATATCGAGCTTAACTGCCATAAAAACATTAGGCCCTGATCTGTGCCTATGCAAAAAGTGGAACACTTCCTGAGCGATAACAACATTGTCCATCAAAGCTCTCCCTGGCACAAAAGCTGTTTGGGATAAGCTAACACACACATTCAGGCAAGACTTAAGCCTGTCAGCCAACAATTTTGCTATGATTTTATACAGGACCCCGCACAAAGAAATCGGCCTGAAATTGCACAAAGATTCTGGATAGAGGCACTTAGGAATAAGTGTGATAACTGTGTGATTCCAGTTTTTCAAAAGCCTGCCCGTAGAAAAAAAACTCTTGATTGCACGACATACATCAAGTTTAATGATTTGCCAAAAGTGTTGAAAGAAATCCACTGACATCCCATCTTCCCCGGGGGCTTTATCAGTAGACATGTTGAACAGGGTCTTAGAGATTTCTTCCTCCTCCACAGGCTTTATTAGCATTTCATTCATGTCATCAGAGATTGAATGAGAAATGTGCTGTAATTAATCTGGGCCACCACTAGTGCCTTCTGAAGTGAACAGAGTTGAGTAAAACTCAGAGATGTGGGCAACAATGGTGTCCTGTTTATCACATATCAGCCCGACCCTTGTGGCCAACTTATGGATTGAATTTGTCTTTCTTCTTTGGGAGGTAAAAGCATGAAAAAAACGGGTGTTCGAGTCTCCAGCTTTGAGCCACATTGCCCTAGATTTGATTCTCCAGAACTGTTCTTCGGCCCTGTGTGCATCATCCAATTTAGTTTTTGTCTCAGACCAGTCCTTCCAATCAATATTCTGGCCATTCTTCCTCATATCCTCCATTTTAGAAGTCAGTTGTTTGATCTCCTTGTCACTGTTCCTATGGATGGGTTTGTACCAGGATAAGAGAGCCATCCTTGTTTGTTTGATTTCCTGGTGCACCTGGAACATAAAAGATCCCTCCACCTCAACCTGCCAGCCCTCTTTAACTGCCTCAGTCACTCCCTCCATCTTCACCCAAGCTTTGTCAAATAAGAATCTTTTCCTTCTCTTTCCCACTTCAGTATCTGTGTTAATAAGGATAACATTGTGATCCGAAGCCGATCTGTAGAAGTTTGAAACCTTCATGTTGGGAAAGTTAGTCATCCAGTCCCAAGAAGAGAACACCTTATCTAACCTCTCCTCAACATAGCCATCAGAAGCTCTGTTATTGCCCCAGGTAAAGAATGAGCCTTGCTGATCAACCTCCAACATTTCCATTTCTTCAATGAATTGTCTGAACTCAGAGAAGCTGGATTCCAACCTCCTAAGCCCTCCTCTTTTTTCTTCATTGCTTATGATATCGTTCCAGTCACCCGCTATCATCCAACAGGTGCCCCAGTTCATCTTCTTGTCAATCAAAAACTCCCATTGTCTTCTTCTAATAGCCTTGTCAGAATTCATGTAGACAAAGATCATCCAAACCCCACTACTAAAACCCTCCCCTCTCAGCTCCATTTGTATGCATAAGTCATTACTAATAATTTGTTTGACCTCAGTTTCCAAATCCCACATGACAAGCAATCCCCCTTTAGTCCCACTTGGCCTTTCAAGGTGCCATCTACTACCAAACCCCAATTTTTTGCAAACTGTTGACGTAAATTTTAGAGACTTTTTTGTTTCAGAAAGAAAAATTACATTTGGGTGGTGAACTCTTCTAGAGTCCTTGATCTGGGAAACTGTAGAGGGCCCACCCAGTCCTCTACAGTTCCACACCATGGCCTTCATTGATCACCTCGGGGCCACTTGAGGCTGGCCTTCTCCACCTTACTCAAATCATCATATGGTTTTTGTCTCTTTTCTGAACCTGCTTCCTCTAAATCATCCATATCCTCTGCCTGAGATATTAACTCCCTATTCCTTTTCAAAGAGCTTTCTGGTCTTGGGCCCTTAGGTCCCTCAGACATGGAAGGTGGAGACACAACTTGTTGATTCATGTTCCTCCCTGATAAACCTTCAGTGCCAGCCTTTCTTTTCCAAAAGGATTTTTTCTGAGTCCCACCTGCTTCCTCCTCTTTATTGCTACCTGATGGAGGAACTCTAATTTCCTTCATATTAATGTGGTTTTCCACCTCCATATACTGCTCCAAACTCGTGGGAGTTTCTAGTAGAGATTCTGGTAGTGGTGTGGTTGGGGCTGCATCTGCAATCACACCCCTGACTTCAACCCCAATGTGTGAGTCTTCCGGCATATCATCAACATTTTGCTCCACAATCAGATCTTTTGAACTTGAAACAGAGATCTTCTTACTGCTGGGAGTAGTATTAGCAGATACCAGCGAATCCGGGTGGACCTGTTGTATAGGTTGATTGCCTTTGTCTCCAGAACTGCTGGTTTGGCTATATCTACCTCCTGGGAAAGTTTCAAGAGCCTTCAACAATTCCCCGAACAGACCTTCCTCCACTGAATTATTTTCAATGTTTTCTTCCCTTATTTTACACCCTCTGTGCAAGTGGCCAATATGCCCACAATAATAGCAGAGATTAACCAGTCTTTCATACCTAAATGCCACAAGAACTCTCTCCTCCCCCAATTTAACCGAAGTACACCTAGGAATTGGCTCTTTCAGATTGAGGGCTACCAAGATTTTAATGAAACTACCTTGCTCCCCTCCCATTTTGCAGATAACAACGTTATTCACCCTATTGAAGATTTGCCCAATGCGCATCCCCACCTCCGTACTCATCCAGTTAAGAGGTACGTTTAGGATCTGTACCCAGATCATCACTTCATCGAAGCATTTGTGCGAGCTATGAAGACCTGGGAACCATTCTTTGAGGATGAGATATTGGTTCTCATATATCCAGTTATGCCCAGAGACCACCTTCCTCTTATCTTCCTGAGACGCAAAGATAAACTGGAAGAAATTCGAGCTAATCTCCTTCACTTCCATAGCTAGCTGGAGCTTCCATATGGTCGTCATTGTACGCTTTATCCCCAGCATACTCGTCGGCCGGTCGCCTACTACTTTACCAAAAAGACTCCTCCCGCATTCCTCCTCGCTGGATTTGATGTCTTTTAGTTGAATTTCTACATTTCCTGCTTCTTTCTGTGATAGAGAAATAGCGTGGAGCTTCCTCATCACATCCTCCCCCAGATCCCCTACAATGCCCCCTCCAGGAGGTTTCTCCCCCATTGGGTCCTTAAGCAAAACCCTCAATCAGACGCTTGATATAAAACCCTAACTGGGCCAATGATCCAGAAGTACAGCTCCCCGAAGAAGAAGAGAGAGACAATTATGAAAGGATTCAACAAAGAATGAGAAAAAAAACCCTTCACACAAAGGAATTTCGCCTTCACACAAAGGAATTTCGCTCCCACCAGGAGAATTTCGCTCCCACCAGGAGAATTGTTCCTTACGGGTAGTTTAGAAAAATTTAGGTAGCTTCAAACATTATTTGTGAATAATATAGAATATTTTAGATGCTTTTATAGATGTTATAAAATATTTTAAGTATTTTTAATATTTATATATCACACTATGATATAGGATATTATCTGTATAAAGACGAGCCGATTTGGTGAGCCGGTCGAGAA